GGGCGGCCGCACGTGCGGACCCTAGGGAAGGACACGCCCCCGAGACCACGCCCCCTGTCGGAGCCGGAGTGTCAGAGGCCTGATTGGTCGCCAAGCCTTCAGGTCTCCGTCTCCTGTCGGCTCTTAGTGGCGGTCCGGCCTCGGGAATCCCAGGTCTGTCGCTGCTGGGCCCCGGCGTTCCAGGCCTTTGCCTTGCACATCGCCCTGGTCCCCTTCACAGCTCATACTTCCCCCAAGACCCCTACAGCCTTCTCTCTGCAAGAATGGGCTTCTCCGACTCCTGCCCTCCAGCGCTTTGTAGCTTTCTCCTGTTTTAGCCTTTATGTATTTTACACACACATACACACACACACACACACACACACACACACACAAGCTATTTTCAGGGACTTGGTTATCACATGGGCAGGGTAGATCCCAGAGGCATTGGGAGAGAGAACCACCCACATTCCTACATTCCTTCCATGCCCACTCACCGGGATTCTGATCTCCATGGCATCCAGGCCTGGGTCACGTGCCCTCCTCTGACCTCAACATGTGGCTGTGCCTGACACCAGGTTGCAGTTTTTGGGTCTCAAATCCCTCAAGTCCCAGCTGCCAGGCACAGGCCAGTCACACACGGCCTCCGGCAAGGAGTCCATCCATACTTGCTTTAATGTTCTGCTGTTGCCCTCTTGAAATTTATGGTTGTTTTTTTAACACAAGCATTTAAATTTTGCACTGGCTCCTGCAAATTATGTGAGGTGGCCTTGGCCAGAGGCCTCAGGTTGTCCCTGAGCCCTACCATATTTCAAATGATGTTGACTTCTAGGTCCAGCCCTTTTTCCAGGATCGCAAACTGTTGCTTAATCACTGATTTCACTCTCCAGGCAATGGCAGATCTTGCAAATCCACCCTAGCTGTCTTTCCCGGATGTGGCAGATGCTGTCTTGGTGCCCCGCTCAGGTCCCCTTTACTCTGCCAGTGAATCCATTCTCCAGCTGCTGTGTCAGCTACTCAGCTGCCCCCTTTTCTGGAAAATTGCCCTTGCAGGAGGGAGAATGGAGGCCCCATCCTGGGAAGTTACTCCACCCCCCACCCTCCCAGTCAATGACGGACTGACATAGGTTACAAAAAGCTGGTTCAACTCTGGTGTGGTTTATGCTCCAGAGCCTTCCCCTGTGAGCAGGCCAAGGCCAGGCTTCGACTCTATCCCTGCCCAGCGTTTGTCTTTTCCCCCTTCTGTTTCACTTTTTTTATAGTTTTTTTTCTGAAGTGCACTCCCTCAAAAAATAAATTACCTAGTGCCTGTCTTGAGCTGTGCTTTTAAGACAATGGGTTTAACTTTATAAACACAGCATCAGATTCTAAATATAGTAAGTTCCACTGGAGGTCCATCACAATATTATTTTCAGAAAGCCACTCAAGCCCATGGTGGCAGGTAAGATAGACCCAAAGGCATTCCAGCAGCGTTCCCTACCCCCGTGGCCAGCCAATCCCACAAGTCAGACCAAGGACCAAACGGAACTGTTAACATCCCACTCAAAGGAAAGGCACTTCAAACACCCTCTTATCTCCAATTTTATTACAGGACGTGTTGGGGACAGGGAGGAAAGTGGCAGAGGTGTGGCAGAGGGCAGCTGGGGGCCCTCCCCACATGAGCTTCGAGGCACATGGGGGTCAGTCAGAAGCACCTGAGGAGGGTGCCGAAAGCCCGAACAATCAGTACCTTCCTGCCGCCCATGCTTGGAAGCACTGGGAAAGGTTTCGGTCGTCCCTCCCTGTGAAGGGTTGGAAGAGTGCCTCCCAGAGGACATGAACTTGGCTGAGCTCGCTAACTCATGCCTCATTTGGTCCAGAGATCAGAAGAGAATGAGACATTTTGGTTTGAAAGGCTTTCTTTGTCACCTCGGTGAGAACAGGCAGGGGCGTGGTAAGGGTGCGAAACACCCCGCAATCAAGACTCAGGCTGAATCTCACCTCCGCCACTGAGTGACGCTGGGCAAGTCAGTTTGTTTTCCTGAGACTCGGTTTCTTCATCTGCAAAACGGGAACAATTACTATCCACCTCACAGGCTTGTTGTGAGGATTCCATGAGAAAAGACATGTAATCTTCACGAAGTGCCTCAGCTAGAGAAGGCCTGGGGCTGTGTCTGAGGAAGCGCCTGCCTGCCTTCCTCTTCCCGGTTTAGGGTGGGGAGCAGGCGTGGCTGCAAGGCCTTCGTGAAAGGCCTGGGCCCTCATGGGCTGAGTGGAGAGCAAGGGTGCAAATCCACTCTAGCTGTCTTTCCCGGATGCGGTAGATGCTGTCTTGGTGCCCCACCAGGCGCAGTCAGACCCTCTGACTGTATTTAAAAAACTAGAAGAGAAGGGAGAGAGGACTGTTTCTTCCCACGGGGGCAACTGCAGGGACATCAAGCTGGGCCCCTCTAGGATTTCAGACCCAGCCATCATGCGCAGCTGCTGGAGGAAGCCTTTGCCCCTTCCTTCTCCTTAGCGCGGGGTTATAAAAAATACCTACAAACGGTGAGAAAGTTCACGTAAAAACACTTTCCTGCATGTATAAAAAAGAGACTGGCCGTGGTCAGTGGCTTGGGATGCGAACTGAGGCCCCAAGCTTGGCCAAGGAGTGTCAACACCCGTCCAGGGGTGGACAGGCCGGTCTGGGCTGCCCTGACAGCCGGACAGTCGGCGGCTCCTTGGCTGGGCTACACTCCGTGGAACTGAGGTCTCAGGGGCAGGAAGCACTCTGGTTCCAACAGTGCTCCTGCTCCCTGTGCTGAGGTGGGCGGGGTGGTGCCTTGGGTCTGGGCCTCAGGGACCCCCTTCCTAAGGGCAACTGGCCTCGAGCAAGTCCCCAAACAGGTTTGGGGTCCTCTCATCAAGTCAAATAGACTAGACTGGTCTGGGGAGCCAAGGCCTGGGGTGCTGTATGGTTTCTGCTTCTGAAGGAGGGTTCTGCCCAGAGCCTCCAGATGGCTGTCTCTCGCGAGCCTGACCCCCTGGGGAGCGGGCACAGGAGGGCAGCCAGGGCTGTGGCCAGGAAGAAGGCTCCGGACAAAAACAGGAGCACTTCTCTGGCACCCCACCCCACGCCAGGGCTTCTTGCTGTTCCTTTTGGGAAGGGGTGACAGTAGGGTAAAAGGGGTGGCCCACTGCTCCCTATTCTTCACCCCACAAGGGCCTGGACAGTGTGTCCGAGAGGGTGAGGTCTAGGGAAATGGCCCCGGCTCCGTTTTGGGGGGTCCCAAGCAGCTCCCGGAGCCAGGTGGGTAGTAAAGGGCCGATGGTGGCAGCTGGAGCTAGAGGTTCACCCACAGGCCACCCAGGCGCCTCCTTGCCAACTCCCCCCAAATAGATGCAAAGCGAGGACAGCCACCTTAGTTGACCTCCGACCTCACAGGCATCCTGGGAGGCGTGGGGTGGGAATGCCTGAGCTTAAATGTGGCCCTCCTTGCTGGAGGCCTTTCTTCCCAGCTCCTGCCCAGCCCCTTCTCAGGGCCCCGGGGCGGCCCACTAGGGCTGGAGGAGGGGCAGGCCGCGCCGGAGGCCCTCCTTCAGGAACTGCAGGTACGTGGCCGTGGACGGGTCTTCAAAGGTGGATGCGAAGCTGAAGGCGCTGTTCTCCACGTCCTCGGGCCTCATGGAGGTGATGTCCAAGAAGTGGTTGGCGTTGATGTGGTGGACCTGGGAGAAAGGCTGGGTGAGGTGCGGGGTCCCCCGGGCTCAGGGCCCCCTGCTCCGTCTGCTCGGCCTCTCGTGGGAGAAGTGGCCACTCTCGGGCCTCACCAGCCCTCGCTGAGGCAGACGGCAGCCAGAACCCTGTCGGAACCGACCCTGGGGCCCGCTGCCTCCCTCTCCTGCCTCTGCTCACACGGGGCCCTCCGACCACAGAGCTCACACACCTCGTCCACTAGCAGAAAACCTAATGCCCTTCAGTTCACCTGCCCCTCGCCCCACCCCTTCTCTGCTCCTGTGACCCTGAACTCTGCTCCCCTGCCAGGAAGAGCAGGAGATGCTGAGGCCCAGGCAGACCTCATTTCAAAGCCAGCGACACTGCTTCCTTTTTTATTTTTTAATTCTCACCCGAGGATATGTTTTTTTTTTCTTTTTCTTTTTCTTAGAGAGAGAGAGGGAGAGAGAAACATCGATGTGAGAAACATTGATCAGTTGCTTCCTATACCTGCCCATACGCACTCCGAGCAGACACTGGACCCAAAACCCAGGTATGTGCCCTGGCCTGGAAGTGAACCTGCAGCCTTTGGGTGTACGGGACTAAGCCACCCGGCCAGGGCCCAGCTACACTGCTTACTTGTGCAACTGTCTCCAAATCTCTGGTCCTTCTGAGGCTCGGATTCCTTGATTGTAAAGTGGGTGTTTGTAAGGATCCAGCTCCCAGAGCTGCTGTGAGAATCCAACTACAGGATGCGCTTGGGTGCTTGTGAGGGGCCCTCAGGGAGAGGTAGGGTCTTGATGTTTGGCTGGGCCTGGGGTGGGGGTCTCTGGTCGTCTCTACCTGTCACAAGGCCTGGCCTGTCCCTCCTCCTTCCATCCCAGGCTGACCGCAGTGTTCCAGGTGAGCCTTCCCTCCAGGCCACGGTCCTTTCCACGCTGCTGCTACACTGTGCCTACGGCTTCCCGGCCCCCTAGGTGCTGTTGGGGTCCCCCTTCCCATAGGAGCGTCCTGACCCCTGCATGAGGCAGGCGGACTGGGCATCAGGATCCCCATTTTATAGATGTGACCACTGAGGCTCAGGCTGGCTAAGAGCCCAGCTAGGAAGTGGTGGAGCCAGGCCAGAGCCTGATGAGGTCTGTGAGCCTGTGTCCCTGGCTGGCTGCTTCCTCTCACCACAGTGCCAGGCCTGGGCTGGTGGAGGTGGGGTGACCTACCACGGTGCCATTGGGCAGGCAGATCATCATCTCCACGGGGAAGCTGTACTTCTCCAGGTGCAGGTCTGCCAGCTTCTTGTGGGAGGGGTTCTCCCGGTTGTTCTGTGGGGATAGTGGGGCACACCCTTGAGACCTTGGCCCCCAGCATGGTCCTAGGGGCTCCCAAGAGGCTGTTCCCATCCACCCTCCACTCACTCGCAGGTCCTCCAGCTCCTTCACCAGGGACCAGGTGCTAATGAAGCTCTCGTTGAGGAGCGCAAGGACGGGCGAACTTTCCAGGACCGTCTCCCGGAGAGTCCGCCCGGAACCTGTGCAGGGAGAGGCTGGGTCAGGAGAGTGAGGCCACCCCACGCCTCACTGGGCTTCCATCAGCAAATAACCCCATGGACTATGCACCGGGTGAAATCACAGAGTCTGTAGGTGCTGAATAAATGGCAGCTGTCACATCGAGAACATTCTGGCATCTGGGCTGAGACTTAGGGTGAGCCCTACCCAGGGACCTGTGGTCCCAAATCCACAAAACTGTGCCCCAGGCCTTTGCACAGACTGTTCTTCCACAGAAAATACTCTTCCTCCTGTCACTTGACAAACTCCTACTCATCCTTCAGAGTCTCCTCGTAATGTCACTCTCTCTAAGATGCCTCCCCTGGCGCCCGTTACACACCGCGTGCCCCCTGGCCCTGCCTGTGTAACGCTCACCAGCCGTGTACTTATTCACTCAGCGTCTGCCTCCTGCTCTCCACTGTGCACGCCCGAGGACAAGGACCACTGACTTCCTCACGGCAAGGCCCCAGCACCCAGCCCAGGGCGGGGCCAGGGGGCCCCCGGGATGTTTGCTGATTGACTGGGCGAGGACAGGCTCGTCGTTTTACTCATCTTCACCCACTGGGTGACGCCCAACGAATCTGGCGCCCAGCCGGCCTTCAGTGAATGCTCTGCATAAGTGAATGCACGCCCTGCCCCTGGCACTGTTCTTGTTATCTCACGTGTGTGCACACTGCCGAGCACAGGCACGTTCACAGCCATTTCTCATCACTCCGGGCGGTAAGTGTGTTTCCCTCCTTTACTGCTGAGAAAACGGAGGCTCAGGGAGCAGTCACTTGGCCAAGGGTTCTGAGCTGAAAATGGCTGAGTTGGGCTCAGCTTGTATCCAGCAGCTTCCTCCGAGCTCAGCACAGAAACCTCCCAAGCCCTCACCCTCTGCCCTGCCCTGTGCAGTCCCCTCATGCTCCTACAGGGGAGGCCCAAGGTCTGAGCCTCCTGCACCCCACAAAGCGTGAAGTTTCTCCTGTCCTCCCCTGGGCATGGCCAGGTCTCTCTCACTCACCTCAGCAGGACTGGTCGTCCAGGGCCCCCCACAGCAGGATCGAGTGCACCAGCTTGTTCTTGGCCTTGGCTTGGTCGAAGGCCTCGGTGAATGGCAGGTAGGTGACCTGGGCCAAGCCGAGAGAGAAGCTACTGTGTGCAGCCTGGGTCCCATTCAGGTGCGGAGTGTGTAATGTGTATGCGTGTATATGCATGTATAGTGTGCGTGTGCGCGTGCGTGTGCGTGTGCGTGTGTGTGTGAGGGGTGCTGCTGAGATGGGGGATACCTCCTCCAAGCTCTGAATGGCAAAGGGAGGCTCCCCGGGCACCACTGGGCCCTGCAGAGAGAAAGCCCAAGTAGCAAGCCCTACACATAGCCCAGCGGCCTGTGCCCACCTGCTGCTCCCACAGCTCCAGCCCCCGCCCATGGACCCTGCCCCTGCCCTCACGCATGCCCAGCCTCACCTTCATGAAGGGGTACATGGCCACCTCCAGGCGCCGGGCAGCCTCCTCCCAGCTCAGCTCCTGCTGCCACCTGATCTCCTCAAACACAAACTGGAGGGGCTCCCCCGAGGGCAGGCGGCTGTCAATCATGTTGCCATCCTCATCCATGATCACGGAGGGTATTGAGGGGCCTGTGGCCTCCAGCTCCATCTAGGCCGGAGGGCAGTGCGGGATGGCCTCAGTGAGGGACGTCTCAGAGATGGGCAAGGATCCTCACGGGGCCCCGAGAGACCCTCAAAGGTACCCCATTCACTGCAGAGGCGGGGACATGGAGGCCCAGGGAAGGGGGGCCTGGTAGTGAGTGAGCCCAAGCCCGTGTCCAGCCAGGGCTCCTTCACTGCGTGAAGCTGCCTGAGGGCCGTGGCGGATGCTGGGTTCTGTGTGCAGAAGCAGATGCCAGGAGCTCCGCTCTCCACCGCCCTGAGGCTCCTCGCCAGCTGGGCACCCCCTGCAGCCAGGCTGAGAGGCCCTGCGACAGAGCCTTGCAGAGGAGCCCTGCCTTCCTAGCCGGGTAGGGACCGGGTGTGCGCTCACCTGGGGTATGTAGCCGATGTCCACCTCCATATTGCTGTTCTCACTGGCCCCATACAGCCACTCCATGTCCACATTCAGAGACCTGGGGTCGGTGAGAGGGTGGCCATGTTGCTGGAAGCACAGAGCTTCCCCGCGTTACAGATGAGGACCCGGAGGCGTGGCAAGCTGGGCCCAGGGCTCAGCGCTGCTGGGACCGGACTGCAGAGCCGGCCCTTCCCTCTCCCTGGGCTGCTCTTCCTAAGGCGGCAACCGCACCCCCTCCAGTGGCCCAGCCTCACCGTTCACCAGGGCTTTCCCACCCGTGACTCTTGTATTGCCCTCGACCCCTCCAGGCAGAGGTCACCAGTGCATCCCCCAGGACACAGCGGAGTGGAGTGAAAACCTGGCACAGCCTGGCCTGACCAGGTACCACCTGCAGGTCTGCCACGTGGGGGCGCCCGAGGACTGATAACCAACCACTTTGGGCACAGTGAGCTGCGTGCCCGCGGAAGGGGTCAGCAGTAGCAGTCCCTGGGCCGGGTCATTTGCCCCCCTCCTTCTGTTTCATCCAGTCAGGACCCCCACCTTCAGCCTGGGGCGGAGGCAGGTGTGGCTGGGCTGAGCCGGTGGAACACACTGCTGAGTGGCGGGAGGAGGAGTAAAGGGAGTGCGAGGTAGCCACTCCGTTCCTTGTGGCACTTTCTCTTCCCAGGTTATCCCGACCACCCCCTCACCCTGCCAGCCTCCTGTCGAGAAAGCGAGGGACCTGAGGCTCAGAGAGGGCCAGGGCCTTGCCCACAGACATGCAGTCCGCTGGTGTCACGGCTGAAACTTAACTCTGGCCTCCCTGCTCCCAGCCCACATTCTGTCCCTGTGCAGTCACTAAGCAGCCACTTGGGAATCAGGGAAGACCTGAAACCCGGGTCTCCAGGTCCCCTGCCCTGCCCCCCCACCCCCGACAAGAGGGTGACCCTGAGCCAGTTGCGCAGGTTGGCAGTGGCTGGCACAGAGCCATCCCAGGAGCCCCCTGAGACCTGGTGGTGGCAACTACTGGCAGTGAGGGCCTGCTGTCCTCAGGCCTTAGCCTGTGCTGTTCCCTCTGCCTGGATAAGCCCTCCTCACCCCCCAGGTCTCTGCTTAGATGCCCCTTTCTCTGAGAAGCCTCTATACCAGGAGTCCTCAAACTACGGCCCGCGGGCCACATGCAAATACAAATATTGTATTTGTTCCCGTTTTGTTTTTTTACTTCAAAATAAGATATGTGCAGTGTGCATAGGTGGCTAGGTGTGCATGTTCATAGTTTTTTTTTTAAACTATAGTCCGGCCCTCCAACGGTCTGAGGGACAGTGAACTGGCCCCCTGTTAAAAAGTTTGAGGCCCCCTGCTCTAGACCTCAACCAGCCAGGCCCCTGCCCACCTGCGGCCTCCCCTCAGGTGGTCAGAGAGGCTGTGTTATGGTCAGCGTTATGAGGGTGGGGCGGCTCCAGCTGCACTGGGTCCTGGGCACAGAGTTGGTGGGCCAGGCCCATGCCGCACCTGGGACATGCTTGTCACGGGATGAAATGACCCTCCTCAAGCTGCCTCTTCCTGGTCAGCTCAGGTCCCTCCCGAGAGAGGGGGCTCTGGGAGCAAAGGGGCAGAGACTGAGGGGCCTCTGGGCACCTGCTTCCAACCCTGGAGCTGGAGGCTTGGGCCCATGTTCCCACCTGTGGTTGGGCACGAAGAGCCGGAAGTCACGCACGTGGGTGGCATCTTTGGAGAGGACGATGTGGCCGGTGAACTGGCCGGGCGAGAACCAGAAGGGGAAGTCGGGCGGCTCGCTGAGCTGGAACTCGGCGTGGATCCTGGGGGGAAGGAGCCCAGCTGGGAGCAGGCCTCCCACAGCTGCCCGAAAGCCGGGGACCCAGGCTCTGTGCTGGGGACAGGGCTGGGCAGGGGCCAGGAGAGTGGGGCAGGGAGAAGGCACGGGCCTCCAAGCACCGCCCATCCCCAGGGCCTGGTTCACATGCTGCCTTCGGAAGCCTTGCCTGACCCTCCTCTGAGCTCACACAGTCTGTGTGTGTGACTGGGTCACAGCTCCATACACCCCTCTTCGGTGTGGGTGACCATCACAGCCCCAGCCCTGTGCTAAGCGTGCTCTGCGCACTTTCCTCCTGGGAGGAGGTCACCACCTCTCTGATCCTCACAGGAGGAAGCTGAGGCTCAGAGAGCCCAAGACCCAGGGTGCTAAGTGGGGGCGGGGGGCTCTGAGCCAGGCCTGCCTTCCGCTTGCTGAGCCCCTGTGTGGCCTGGAGCCCCAGGTCCGGAGAGGGAGGGAAGGGCGGGGCTGCGAGGGCCGCTCACCGGAACATCACGGTGTAGTAGAAGTCGCTGACCGCTGTCACGCAGGCCACTGCCCCCTGCGGGGCAAAGCGGGTCTTCACGAAGGGCCGCGGGTGGAACATGCTCAGCAGCCGGTGGATGATGACCTAGGGCAGCACAGCAGGACCCGGGTGGCTGTGGGCCCTGCAGGCCTGAGGTTCAGGGTGGAGGTGGGTCCGGAGGGAGGTGGACAGCAGGGGGTAGGCCTGGCACAGGGTCCGGTGCAGACTGGGCGGGGTGCAGGGCCCAGGGCTCCCCTGGGCTTCCCTCACCTCCTTTCCCTTGGGTGGTGGCGGGTAGAAGCGGTTGTTGGACAAATAGCCGGTGAAGACGCTCAGCTCACTGGGGATGATCCACCAGGGCTCGCCCAGCTCTGCCTGGCCCCGCGGGGGGAGGAAGGGCCGGAAGTGGCGGGCGGCAAACTGTGCACGTGGCGAGGCTGCGGTTGTCCAGTTGCGGAGGCCAGACAGGGCCAGGCGGGAGACCTGGGGCGGGAAAGCCGAAGCTCTGGGGCACGGGCACCACGACTTTGGGGTCCCTGTCCCATGCGTGGAGGAGGCTAAGGTCAGAGTTTGCGTTTGGAGCCAAGTCTGGGAGAGAGGCAGTCACCACCTTTTGGGGGAGGAAAGGCCACCCCCCAGAGTGCCCTGGGCCACCCTGGCTGGGTACCCGGCTCACTTCTATCTGATGAGCCGACAGGCAGCGAGAATGAGGGCCAGAGACTGCAGGCCAGTCCGCGCACCAGCCTGGAGTGGAGCATGCAGGCCCCCTGACGAGTACCCCCTTCGGCTGCTCCTCCCTGCCCTGGGCTACAGGGGGCTGTCCCTTCCCACCGAGGCCTCAGCCCACTCCCCTGGGACACTCAGCCACCAGGAAGCTGCCTCTGTCTTTTTTTTTTTTTAAATATATTTTATTGATTTTTTACAGAGAGGAAGGGAGAGGGATAGAGAGTTAGAAACATCGATGAGAGAGAAACATCGATCAGCTGCCTCCTGCACACCCCCCACTGGGGATGTGCCCGCAACCAAGGTACATGCCTTTGACCAGAATCAAACCCGGGACCCTTCAGTCCGCAGGCCGACGCTCTAACCACTGAGCCCCAGTCAGGCGCTGCTTCTGTCTTTGACAGCAGCAGGTCCTTTTCCTGCCCCCACCTCGATGGCGATGGCGGTGGGTGGGGGCACAGGCTCAGAGAGAAGCGGAACTGGGAAGAGAAGGGCAGGGAGCTCCCACTGAGGGAGACGGACAGGCAGGTCCTCACAGCAGCACTGGCTGTGCAGGGCCAGGCATTGCCCGCCCGTTGGGTCCTGCTCACAGGGTCCCCCTCACTGGCTGGCAAGCCCTGCAGGGGAGCTGCCTGCAAAAGGGGCTGGGCTCTGCGGGGCTCTGCGAGGGGGTGGACTGGGGGTGCTGCTCCTCACCCATCTCCCCTGTAAGTGCAGGTTCTCAGTGCTCTGCAGGGGATTCATTTGCTCATTTAGCTTCAACCCAACTCTAGGCTCATCACCACCAAACCCATCTCCACCCAGAACTTGGCACGGAAGGTCAAACCTGTGCTTCAAACCACTTACTGGACTCCCCCTGACATCCCCGAAGTGCCTCAACCTCAATCTGTCCAAACTGCCCCCATTCTGTCTCCACCAGACCTGCTTCCTTCCTCCGGTCCATGGGCTATCGGCCACCATCCACCTGGCCACCAGCCAGAAGCCCGAGTCATCCTCCCATCACTTCCCATTAGTGGCCACGCCCTGCGCCTCCCGCCCTGCGCCTCCAGGCTGTCCTTCCTCCATCACCTGCTCCCAGGGTCCTCATCCGGGATGTTTAGGTCCCATCATGGGCTTGGACCTTGTCCACAGGGCCTCGGGCCGAGCGGGGCTGGTCAGCAAAGCGTTGTCAGGCACCCTGCCCACCCCACAACCCCTGCCAGGGGCAGAACCTCAGGTCTGAGTCATGAGAGTTCAACGGAGCACCTGTCGGGTGCAGGGCATCGTGCTAGGGGCCTGGGGATGGGGTGCAAACGTGGGGGACACAGGCCTGCCCTCAGCAAGCACCGCCCTGCAGAAAGCAATGATCTAGTGAGGCGGCTGCACCCACAGTCTCTAGTGCACTCGCTGCGTCCTCCAACCAGGTCCTTCCTGCCCCTGCCTCACCTGGCCAACCCTCCTCCTCTCGCATCCTGTCAGGCGTCACTGCCCCAGGAAGCCGTCCCAGGTCCCCACCTGGGTTCCAGGCTCACGCTTATCCCTCCTGCCTCCCCGCCAGGCTGTGTGCCTGGACTGCAGGGATGGCATCGCACCTGCTTCTGGACCCCCAGGGCCTGGCACACGGGGTGCACAGAGGGCAGCTGATAAAGGCAGATGGAAAGAGAAGGAAAGATGAACACAGCCCCATTCCCAGGTGGCGAGTGCACACAGATGGCCCTCCTCTCTAAGGCCCCACCCCAACTCACCCCTAGGAACCCATCTTTGCTCTTGGTCATGGACTCCGGGAGCAGAGGCTGGAATCGGGCTTCTATGGTGAGTGTCTCCTCGCTGGGGTCAGGGGGCAGCTCCTCCTCCTCGTAGCTGGCTGTAGGAGTTGACCCTACGAGACACAGATGGAGAGGCCCTGCCCATCGGCATGTCACATTTTAGTTCCAGAGTCGCCCTGTGAGGCAGATACCGTTACTGCCAACTCCCATTTTATGAATGAGAAACTGGAGGCTCAGAGAGGTGATATCACTTCTTCAAAGTCACACAGCGAGGTGGTGGGAGAGTCAGGATTCAAACCCAGGCCTGTTTCACTCCACACCCACGATTAACCACGACCCTCTTCTGGGGAAGTTAAGATCTCAGAGCCTCAGTTTCCTCAAAGAAACAGAATCAGGCCAACTTCGGTGTCAGAGAAAGAGCAGTGGTCTGGCAGTGAGGAGACTCCTTCCCCCTGATTCCCTGGGTAGCATCATTTCCACGTTTGTTTGAGGAGGGCTGGCTGGACTGGCGGTGGCTGGCCTTGATTTCCCAGATCTCTTCCTGCTCAGAGACGGGCCGACTAAGTCTGTAACCTTCCACGTGCAGAAGGAGTCATGGTGGAGGTTTAAGGGCGAAAGGAAGCTTATTTCAAAGGAGATGACACATAGAAGGGCAGGGCCCAGGACACAGTGGAATAATGCAGCGGCGGTGCTGTCACACCTGCTCTCCCAGGGCAGGTTCCTGAAAAGTGGGGGGGGTGGGGCGTGGGCGGCGGCTGCTGACCGACTGCATGGGTGCGCTCGAAGCAGTTCTTACCCGGGATCACCAGAATCCCCAGGATGCCTTCTACACTTACAGACGCCCAGGGCCCATCTCGGACCTACCGAGCAGGAATCCGAAGGGGCTGGAATCAGCAAACTGCTCTTTAATTGGCACTCCCAGGGCTCCCCATGCAAATCCCCGTCCTACAGAATCACTGCTATTTCTGCATTCGTAAGTCCATGCGGCAAATCTTCCCTAAAAACGGCAATCTGGGGACCTCAGAGGCGGGGACAGTAGGAATGAGCAGGGTTATTAGTCTGCTTGCTTATTTTACTGTTGTCCCAGATTATTATTAATAATAAGGCCCAGCATTTTATGGCCCTTTCGTTTTTTAATAAAAAGTTTTATTTCCTGACTTATCAGTAACAGTTGCTCATTCTAGACAGCTTGTAAAACTTTTAAGGTATAAAGCAGAAAATTAAACACTCACAAACGTACCAACTAGAGAGACTGTTGGCCCCTTGTCACTGCTTAGAGTTGGTGTTTCGTGTTTTTGTTTTTGTTTTAATTTCGTTTTCCCAAAACTTGGTCCAGTTTTGCACTCACGGTGGCCTCAGAGGTAAGGGGATTCATTTAACAAAAATTAATATGGCCTCCAAGCCCAGTAGGCTTGGCCAGCATGTCATTACTCTTGCTCACTGGCCATAAAAAAGGACGAGGAGGTGGCCGTGTGGCCATGTGGCTGCGTGTGGAATTAAGAGGTTGGAGCCAGCCGAGACGGGTTTGGCTCAGTGGATGGAGCGTCGGCCGGCGGACTGAGGGGTCCCGGGTTCGATTCAGGTCAAGGGCGTGTGCCTGGGTTGCAGGCACATCCCCGGTGGGAGATGTGCAGGAGGCGGCTGATCGATGTCTCTCTCTCATCGATGTTTCTAACTCTCTGTCTCTCTCCCTTCCTCTCTGTAAAAAATCAATAAAATATATTAAAAAAAAAAAAAAAAGAGTTGGAGCCAATCCGCAGGGGCCGACCTGCATACCCGCCGTCTGCTTTTACCACAGAAGACACTGGCCCACGTCGGCCCGGCGAATTATCAGTTCTCCTCCAACGCTTCTCCTCTGGCAGTGACCACAGCCGCCAGGACCCAGAAAGCTCACCACGGGGCTTTGGTGCCTACTCACCAGAGAGCAGCTGGCATCGCTCTTGCCTTTCCCATCAATTGACCTCCTTACACTGGGCCACTTGGGTAACAAGTAGGTGCCCAAGATCGTAAGTTCAAGAAATGTCACCAGAAATGGACACAGAGGTTGGGGTGGTGGTGAGAGAGCATTTTACAATTCACTAGAAGCCTGGTATATGAATTCATGCATGCGTGGGGTCCCTTGGCCTGGCCGGCGATTGGGCCGATCGGGGTGTTGCCCAGTCCCCATCATGCCCCCTGGGGCCTGCCAGGTGTGGGGGAGGGACCGTGGGGGATTGGCCAGCCACAGGAGTTTGGCTTTGGGAGCTCACTGACCAACAGGGGGCAGCTCTTGCATTGAGCATCTGCCCCCTGGTAGTCAGTGCGCATCATAGCAACCGGTCGTTGGTCATTCCGTCGCTAAGGCTTCTATGTATATAGATTAGATGTTTCAGGCCTTACTCTTTACAAAACACAACAATAACAAAAACCCAACAACCACTGGTCACAGCCAGGCAAAAACGGGTAGCGAGATGGGCAGGCATCTGGCAGCACCTAAGAGTTTTAATGTTCAGTGAAATAATCAGAATAGCTCCTATGGCCTATCTACTGCTCACCAGCCACTGGCTGATACTCTCCCTAATCCTGAAATCTGTGAGCTGGGGCAGGACCTGGAGCCGATGTCGCTGGCTCTGCACCTTCCAGCTTGGGCAAGCCGGTGAGACTCCCTGTGCCCCAGGCTCCCAACCTGTACCCCTGAGGATGTGACGGTGTCAGCCTCACAGGGCACTGCAAAGAGTAAGAGAGAACTCACACGAGGTGCTTGGAGCCCTGCTGGCCCCGAGGAAGTGGCCAGGGGATGCTAGCTAGGAATTCGCAGGAAGGAGAGACTGGAGTGCGTGTGAGTGTGTGTGAGTGTGTGTGTGCGTGTGTGTGCAAGCAGCTCGCCCAGACCAGCAGCTAGAAGGTGTCAGGGCCAGGGTGACGGGGCTGCCAGGACCCACATCTCCCTCTGCTTCCCGGGCCCCAGCTGAGCGCAGACCCGCACCCTGGGCCGGGCGGTGCCTGGCTCCCTCCTCCCGCCCCGCCCGCCCGGTACCTGTCAGCTTCTCGGCGAGGGGCCCGAACTCCTCGGGGCTGAGGTACAGATCCCGGTCGGTGTCCAAGGAGGAGAAGAGGAAGAGGCCTTCCGTCCCCAGGGTCTTCAGAG